ACCTACGGCTAAAAAGACTTGGCACATTCGATGCATGTAAAAAAGATGTACATGTATAACGGTAATGTTTATCAAGTCACGTCATGTCAGCACAATCTAGTCAGATATTCAGAGATATCCTATCGGCCGCCACTTTTGACCCTGTCACCTCGCTCTAGTGTAATCGTTCATGTAAGACTCAAGATGAAAGCAATCACTGGTCGCGTTAGCAAAGCAAATTACTGGCGCTCATATGACCTTATGCTATTGCGAGCGCCGCAAAAACTTCAACTAAAACAAACAGAGCAAATTACTAACCAACTTACTAAAATAACAAAATAATTAAGTAACTAATTAATTAATTACACTGTGATTGACTAGCTGACTGACTGACTAACCAACCAACCGACAGACTGACTGACTGACTGACTGAACTGACTGACAAAAAACCCCAAAACAACAACAACAACAAACAAATGAATAGATAAATAAACACATTAATTATTTAAATAATGGATAAATATATCAATAAATGAACAAACAAATTACGCCAATTAATATAGAAAACCTAAAAACTAAAAAACAAAAGTAAACTAAATGTCTTTGGCTTTGTTACTAAGTCTGGACGCTAAAGGAACAAACAGACCTTCTAAAAGAACATGATGATTCAATAGGCAACACACCTGGCCCACATCCGACAACTGAATCTCCCCTTGCGGTACAAGAGGACAGAACAAGTAAAGTAGAGTAAATAATAGAACAAACTCGAAATATTTTGAATTAAAAACACAACAAAAAACCATAACCGAAACGGAGCTGAATACGGATGGATTTCAGTTTCTAAAGAACCCCCAAGAGAGGTATCTGACACTAAATAATTATGTGAAGTTGATTTTTTGTTTGTTTGTTTGTTTTTACCCAGAAAAAAAGGGGGTGGGTGGGGGTTGATAATTATGAGTGGCTAGGAGTGGGTCGGTTTGCAGGGGAAGAGTGGCTCAAACTGATACGACTGAACCGGAACAGGAAGTCAAACGAAGGAACAAGTGCCGCCAACACAAACGTGAACTTTTCTAGTCTTCTTTTTTTTTTACTGGAACCTAAATGTGCACAGTAAATACAAGTGAATGGAACATTCTTCGGGCGATCTAGTACGACCCTTCTTCCGTGGGAGACCATGAAGCGGCAGGTCACGAAGTCCACAGGTACAGGAGTAGCATCCTTGCATCTTTTGACCCCGACCTTCTACTTCTACGTCATGGGCCACCTCGGGCGTCTCGCCGACATTGGCGCAATCCAAAGACTGTCACTTTTCCAAAGGTCGCATGCACAGCTCCCTCCATGCGTCATGGTTTATTGGACGACCGACACGACAAGGAGGGACGAGGTGGTGGAAGCCATTTGTGAGCGAATCTGATTGTGTTAGTGAGCGTTTAATGGCACTAGTAATACAATTTTATGCTATATAAGCTCCGAAGATAAGAGGTGTTTTAGTTTTAGCAAGAGTTTTACGGCACTCGCAACACAATAAGGACAAATAAGTGCCGAAGAATATGTGTTGCAAGAGAGTAACATACACAACAACAAAAAAAAGGAGAGAATAGGACGACAGGTGTTTGATAGGAAAGAAAAAGCAAACTATACCAGAGCGCCCGCCAACCACCCACTGATAAGAGGTGTTACAAGAGAGTAACAAACACAATAAAAACAGGAGGAGGCTAATCTGAGGAGGTTGTTTTCGTTTGTTAGCTTGTTTGTTTGTTTGTTGGTCTGTTTGAGTAATACGGAGCACATCGATACAATAACGCTCATTTAGAGCTGGGAAAAATAGTAAGAGTTTTACTACTTTTGCAACACGATGAGGTCACATCAGTGCCCAAGATTAGATGTGTTACAAGAGAATAACTAACACAAAAAGGGGGAGAGATAAGGAAGACAGGTATTATGTACAAAAGGAGGAACTAACCATACTAGAGCACCCGCCAACCACCCACTAATGGTCGTTGAAATTTAGTACCCGTGAAAGACAACAGACAGAGAATAAAAAAGAGAAATGTTTGACTTTTGGGATTAAAGGAATCTGCGTGTCTTCATGTAGGTTACAGAATCATAACACAAACTAAAACGGAACAATTAATATCACAGGAGACAGTAGACAGAACGGTAATATGTGTTCTGGATTGATTTTAAAAAAAACAAAAAAACTGGGTCAATAGGCATGTAACAACCATCTCCGATAGGACCTAGCTAGGCGAGTGAAAAGCCTTGAAAACTCTCGATATGATAGAAAAAATTCATCAACACCCCATTAGGGATTCGAACTTGGGCCACCCGCACTGCAGTCCGGCTTAATATTGACCGAGCTAACGGATGTAGAGAAAAGAAATCTTGTGTGCCAAGTTCCAAAGCTCTACTCTTCCTCCTTCTCTCTCACCTTCCCCCCCCCCTCCCCTCTTTATAATCTAAGACACATGTGGCACTGGTGATAATCAGAAGAAGTAAACACCACGAGAACGCCTCTACTAACTAACTGCCAAAGTCCAGTGGCTTGCTATAACAACAGAACGCGTTGCCCCTAAAGAGAACAGTAAAGCTCTGAGGACAGGGCTTCTATTTGTTTTTTAGTAAAGAACAGAATACCTTTTACTTTTCAGTTTTAGTAAAAGTTTAACGGCACTAACAACACAACTATGTCATATAAGTGCTGAAGATTACTTGAGAGTAACATACAAACCAAAGAATGAGAGATACGGACCATAGAAGTTTGATAGGAAAAAAGGAGAAAAACCACACTAGAGCACCCACAAACCACCCACGAAAAGGACATCGACATAATAGCAGCCATTTCGGTGCAGAAACGGGAAAAACCCACATATATGTACAGAAATAGCCGAGTGAGACTACAGCAGTAGGTCCTACAAGTGAGTTTGAGTAAATAGAAGCACATTATCGACACAATAATGGTCATTTAGTACAGGGGGAAAAGTGAAAAAAGACAAACAGGAACAACAGAGGGAAACAAAGAAGTATTACCTACCTGCAGTGGAGCCTTCTAACTGCTCACTCCTACAAGTGACACCTTCCAACCACCCAGTCCTACAAGGGACACCTTCCAAGTACTCACCCCTACAAGGAACACCTTCCAACCACTCACTCTTACAAGTGACACCTTCCAACCAACCACTCTTACAAGGGACACCTTCCAACCACCCACCCCTACAAGGGGCACCTTCCAACCACCCACAGGACACAACATATCACTCACCGCTTTCGTCTTGGGAATGAAGAACATGAGCAGAGCGCCCAGGATGGGTGGGCAGCCCGCCACGTGAAACGCGATGTCATAGCTGCCCAGATGGTCGTACAATAAACCTGCAAGAAAACAGATGAAGAAAAAAAAAACGTGCTGTGAGAATTTTGCAAACAGTAGTAGTAGTTCTCGGAATTACCCCCATAGACGTGAATCATTATAATATCCTAAACCGTGCAATGTCATGGCTGGAGCTCTTTGCGCTCAACAAAACTTGGCTAAGAAACTTTCGCACCATGGACGTTTAATTAAAAGAAGAGCAAAACACCAGCCTCGATGTAATCGAGTACCCGCAGAAGCTTTTCCTCTTTGACCCTTCATTTCGCTCCAAATGGAGTCGAATAATGCGCTCGTCACGGAAACCAAATTACGTCAGAATGCACGTTCTAGAATATTATAGTGCTTACCTATGAATGACAAATACTACCACCACTGTGACGTTCATAAAAACGAGTACATCTCTCGGGCGTAATACTAATAGTCAGATCAAATGCATTATGAGCACCTGAAAAAGTCCCTCTTTGTTTCCGATTTGTTCTTACTATCAAAATCAAACGACAGTAATAGACAGTTTGATTTGTTTTAGTAAGTGTTTTACGGCACTTGCAACACAATGAGGTCATATAAGTGCCGAAGATTAGAGGTTTTACAAGAGAATAACATACATTTTAAAAAAGGAGGTCTAGTGGTTAGGCTACCGGACTCGTAATCTTGAGGTTGTGGGTTAGGGGGTTCGAGCCGCGGGCCCGACCTCATGTCCTTGGGAGAGGCACTTTACACGAATTTCCATCACTTCATCCAGGTGGGAATGGGTGCCGAGTCATAGACATCGAAAGACCTTGTCAGTATGATAGTGTTTTAATGGCTACTCGCACTGTATGCTTCCCAGGAAGTTGAGGTCGTTTCAGAATGCTCTCAGGTCTGCTGGGGTAATAGTATAGATTGTGAAGCGCATAGAGCTTGCTGTTGAGGGGGGATTTGCGCTATACAAATGCTATCTATCTATTATTATTATTATTGTTATGAAAACGATAGATGTTTGATAGGAAAGAAGAAGCAAACCACACCAGAGCACTCGCCAACCACCCACTGCTAGCTTGGTTGAGTGACGAGTTGGCTATCAGTTGGTTAATTACCTGGTTGATTTGTAGGTAAGCTGATTTTTAGTTCTTAGTTAAGTGAATGGTCGGTCGGTTCTTTGAACCGGATAAATCTATCTAAATCCACAAGGTCCCCTTCACTTCTCTTTTCTCTACC